GCATCCAAATCTCCAGTCATCATATTGAAAGAATTGATGCGCGACAAGAAACAGTTTCAGTTGAAGCTACAGGTTCTCGAGAAGAAGTGCCGCACCACCAAGTCTTTCCATCCTATTAGTTTGAATAACGGACTAACCTTCGCCTCTACTGTCAAACGGCATAAAGATAAGGAGGAAAAGAAAAGGATAGAGGTTAATAAAGGCTCACCACCAAGTGATCTGATCGGAATTTTGAAGAAAAGAAGAGCCCATGAAGAGACCAAAGCAAAGCACTCATCCCACATGGCGAGAAAGGCTCTCCTTTTATCTTCAGGCAAAGACTGTGGCCTTGAGATACAACCTTTCAAAGCAGTGCCAAATTCACTAGAAGGTAACTAGGTTTCATTTTTTCCACTGATCAACTGTAATAAAGCTGAACCACTCCTTGAAGGGACCGTTCTTTCAAAAAAAGGAAATTCTGTGACACTTTGCTCAGTCTTATGGTGCATTCACGTGCTATGGAAAATATATTTTCCATTTGTGAACTAGTATTTACCAGTGTGTTGTGTTCAAGTGCTTTTGTTGTCGTAATGTGGTAAAAAGATGGAGATCCAGACCTGTTATTTAGTTAAAACTATTTTAGATTGCTTAAGAAAGAAAATGATTTATCAAAACTCAAACGGTAAATAATATGGTGTATATTTTCTAGAGATCATGAATAGTACATATTTTCTGCCATTTTGAAAAGGTCAAAGGTTATCTCATCTCGGCAACTCGTGCACCAAAATATTCTACGAGCTGCCCAGTGGAAAATACCACATGAGGGGGTGTTCATGTGCATTTTCCACGTCGGGTTTTGGTATTTACGATATTACCATAGCACATGAACGCACCATTATGTTTGACCAAACCCATATGCTTGAAATGCTAAAGAGAATAAGTATACTGGTTTGAAACAACGTGAGGGGGAATAAGTAATGTCAAAATTATAATTTTGAGTGGAACTATCTAAACATGAAGAATTTATATTTAATCAATAATGAATGCTTCAAATGTAGCTATAATTATTTCAAATGTATAACTTTTATTTCCACTATAGCCATAAAATTAAGCCTGCTTTATATACTTATTATACACTAGTGTAGTATTTTATATGAATTACAAATGTTAGGCTTCTCCAAATATAGACTGATCGCTACTGCTAAACGATCCTTTCATGAGAGGCCTGAATTTTAGTGGTTTTAACATGAAGAGTACATTGACAGTGTATTACAGTATCTATAAGTGTTTCATTTTTTTATGTGTTGTGTTTTTGTTTTTGTTACAGAGAAAAGTGAACTCAATAGAAAAGTTTGCGTGCACTGTAATGCCACCTTCCACAGTGGTGTTAGTCTCTCCAATCATTTGAGGGCATATGCACATAGAAAGAAAAAAGCTCTTCTGGATGGAACTAGTACGCACCTTTCTTTCCTCCTATGTAAATGCACCTGTGTACTTGCTTTTGGCTTCTTGTTCTACTTTCCTAGGGCTTAGATCACATGTCACATGCTCACTCCCTTTTCTAAACTTTTTCCATTTTTCTCATAAAACGTAACATGGAAGTAACTTAAAGGGTTAGTTCACCACTTAATTTCTCACCCTCATATCATTCCAAACCTGTAAGATTTTCGTTCATCTTCAAAACACAAATGCTTGAGAGCTTTCTGTCCCTCGATTCCCAGAAACGTAGTAAAAACATTGTTAAAATAGTCCATGTAACTACAGGGGTTCAACCTTAATGTTATGAAGCGTCGAGAATACTGTTTGTGCGCAAACGTTGCTGTCAATCAAGGGACAAAAATCTCTGTTTTCATCAAAAATATCTTCATTTGTGTTCCGAAGATGAATGTCTTACGGGTTTGGAACGACATAAGGGTGAGTAATTAATGACAGAATTAATTTTTTTGGGTAAACTAACCCTTTAAGTAATGTTAAACATTTTGAATAGTATTTCTTTTATAATCACAAGGATAATTCAGGTGTTTTAGTAGCAGAGATTTATACGGACACCTGATGGTTAATCAGATTGTAGTTGCTGCACGATGCCATTGTAAAAGTATTGTTATCATTTGCTTTTTTTTATTCACAATCAAATGCCCAATAATAGAGGGTTACTGAGGTAAAGTGAGTGTTATTCGGCTGGTCATGTAAGCCAGCCACCACAAGGGTAAGACTTTATTTGTAATATATGAAATAGGTGCTTTAACATATTTTGCTAAACATTAAAAACCTGAGAAATGTTATGTTGTTGAAAGCAACAATGTAATAGGTTAAAAGCTTATGGTGTGCTTTTTAAATATGTTTATGTAATTTCTAATAAATGCATTGTTTATTATTGCAGCTTATGACTGTAAACAGAGAAAGCAAAGATCAAGGTCTGGGTCAAAGAAGAAAATGTACCCGCTGCTGCACAGTCCAGAGGAAATCTACAGACTTACTTGCAGGTAACCTCTGTTACAAATATCTAAGTGCATATTTAATATAATATTACAATATATATTTAACATGAATATTATGAAATATATATTGTAATGCATGCTGCATATTGTAAAAAAAAAAAATTTGTGTAGTTGTTTTGTTTCTTGTTTTTCCATTCTTTTCACATTTGTCAATGCATCATTGTAATCTAATGTGTAATTGTTTCCACATGCAGGTTTTGTGACCTAGTCTTCCAGGGCCCTTTGTCAGTGCAGGAGGACTGGATAAAGCATTTACAGAGGCACATTATGAATACCGCTGTACCGCACACAGGGGCTGGGATGGTGGAAGTCACCTCCTTCCCCAAGGACTCTTGCTCCAACACCATACCACAGGCACAATCTTCAGTGATGCAAACTTCCTCATGAGCCCAGGAACACACACACATTGTCCTTGGAATATCACTTGTGTGTAAATTGTTTGGTTTAAATTTTATATTGCCATCAGTAAGGACTTGGTTTTAAAATGAATGAGGATCCATTCTTATCACAGACCGCTTTTTAGATATTGTTACATTTTGCTGGTGTTGTACATGGTCAGAGAACGTTGTTAGCCTCATAGCATAATAGCCTTAAACATATTTCAAATAAACATGACTTAGGCAATTATGCTATGATGCTAACATGGTGGGTGAATATGTTGAGATTTCAGTGGAACCCACCCCCAAAAGACAACCTTTACCTCAGATGCTTCTCACATTGCATTTAATCTGTCATCACAGATCTATGCTCTACAAAAACTGAAATGATTCTGTATGTGGATTTTATAACAAGCCATTTTAATTTGAGAACAAACACAATTTTGTCTTTTTGTTGTCCCATCCATGAGCCTTGGAAGGTGCACTTATGATGCATAATATGTGTAAAAATGTAAGTCTATATATTTACTTGATTCAGAAGTTTAACTCATGCCCACACATCAGTCGTTGTGTAAAACATCCTGTTCTATTGATATTTAGCGGTTCAGACAGTATGCATGTCAAAACTCCCTGTTTACACCGTTTATGCTTCGGTAACATTTTGGTTTTCACTTATTACCCTCTTTTGATTTTATCTTAAATCTGTAAGTTTGCCATGTGTGCAAAGAAACAAAACAAACAAAAAAAAAACATTAACTGTTACTTGTGTAGGCCATTTTTTACAGTTCAGATATTTTTGTGTATAAACCTTTTTAGGTAATTTATGTGAGGAAAAAAATCACTATAAACATTTTTGCTGTTCAGAATAAAACGTTTTTGTTGTCTTCAGCTTGTTGGTATGTTAAGCTATGAAAGTAACTTGCGTTGTAATTGTTGCCATTTACAGATTACGCCACATAATTTGCATATTGCTAGCAGATGTATTCTTGTCTAATAACCTAGATAATCTTCACTGAAGACATTAGTGATACTGGAAAAAAGTTCCCCTGCTGTAACTACAAACATGGTAAAAATGAAATATAGAAATGTTTAGGGGAAATAACAGCAAAACCAACTGGAAGGGGGTGGGTAAATGTTCTATAAACAAACATGTTTGAAATAGGAAGGCAGACAAGTTGAAATGTGTATGTAGGCAAAAGTGTAGTATTTAAGTACTTGAATTTACTGAAGTAGAGTGTGCCTGTTAGACTGTCGAGCCAAAATCAATTAGACAGCAAAAAGCAGAAGTCAGATTCTCGTATCAAATTCATTTAATTTGATATTTGCAGGTATCGTTCTTTGTAAATATCAGTTTTTAGAGTTCAAACTACAGGTTTAAACCTTTGTACCATTGTACTTTTAAAACACTGTAACACACATCCAAACCTAGTTTATACGCAGCATTTAATAACAATCCGAAAACAAAAAAGAAGACATTAATAATTACATTGCAAAGGGCAGTATTACCAGATGTTCTTTGCCAAGCATGTGGCATATTCTAAGATACAATCATAACAACAATGCGCAAGTCAACCTCGAGCAGCTTTACAAGGTCACTGTGGTTCCAATCATGAGTTGCAGCATGCACATCCCCCCATCTGGCATTTCTTAGTCTTTGATAGGCCTCTTATCATCAAAAAGCAGCGAAAAGAAAAAAATGTATATGTTTCACTGTTAACAAAGGAAATTCAGAATACATTCTCCGACTTGAAAGCGTGTTGCAAGTTTGCAGATATTGCTAAAGAGAACGTGAACTTTCATAATGTCTTTCATCATGTCAGATCATGTCTTTAGAGTTTATAAAATGTTGATAAGCACTGCTCATACTCTAAATCGTAAGAAATGCATGATACATATAAAAATATTTTGTTAAAATTAAGTTTGTTTCCATAAAGACTTTGCTGGAAACTGGTGCTGATAGACACTTGAAAATGTAGGACATTTAGGATAAGTACTGACCTTTATACATAGTTCACCCAGAAATGGTTATTCTGTCATCATTCACTCAACCTTCAAACTGTATGGCTTTCTTTCTTTTGTGGAACTTTATACAAGGCTGAAACAACATGAGGGTGAATAAATGACAGAATTTTCATTTTTGTCTGCACTGTCTTTTTAAAATACACATCAGTCTGCATATTAAATAGTAACTTAAATGAATATAAATAACAATACACATGTAAATGTGTAACAGAACATAATTTAAACTAAACATACCCGCTTATAGGCAAACAGAAGCAAACACAATCCTGTTATCTGCAACGTTCCTGTTATATTTTGCAACAAGTGTTTCCTGTCTTTGAGGCCCATTTCTAGACCATATGTTGATGACATATTAGGAGGCCTCTTGCACATTCATTTGTTAAATATTTTTGGCTAGTTTGATTATATTGTCATCTACCAATAAGAGCGAATTATCACCAATAATGGTTATATCCATTCTGAAGTGCTCCATTAGTCACTACTGATACTTTCCTTGACCTCAAGAGGCAGTGTGTCAAAAAGATGATCCTCCACGAAGAGGTGGTTTTTCCGAAGAAGGTGACACTGGCCAAGCTTAAATGGAAGGCAATCTAAGCAGTTCCCTTTGAGCTCAAGTTGGGACAGCTGAACTAACTGCCCAATGGACTCTGGGATGGAGGTGATGCTGTTATGACCCACAAATAAAACCTTCAGTTTGGAACATTTAAACAGTTGATTAGGCAGAACTTCTACCTTGTTCCCTGTGATAGCAAAATGTTGAAGGTTGTGAAGGTGTCCAATCTCCACTGGTATACTTGAGATGGAGTTGTTGCTGAGGTCAATGTGCCTCAGTTTGGGCAGATGAAACAAAGCTGGAGGAAGGGTCTCCAGTTTATTGTGACAGATAATGAGGGACTCCAGACTCTTTACTAGGCCTATCGATGGTGGAATGGCACTGATCTTGTTGTACCACAGCTTGAGGCACACCAATCTTCTCAGGTGCTGAAAGCTGATGATTTCCTCAATGGTCCGGATATTGTTATTCTTCAAGTCCAGTTCTTGCAAGTTAGCCAAGCTAAAGATGGCATGGGGGATCCTCTCCAAATCACAGTTCTGGAGATCCAAATCCACTAGGCTGGTCATCTTCTTGAGACTGTTCAGTACCAGTAATTTAGTCCCATCATTGTGAATCACCAGTCTGACGAGATGTGCCGACAGTTCTGTTAGATTTGTGGGTATTTTGTTAAGATTGCTTTTGAGATACAATGTCCGCAAGTGTCTCAGATCTCTCAGTGACTCCAAACCAATCATCTTGTTGTGTTCAGAGTTCAGGTTCCCAATCAGGTTCAGTTCCTTGAGGCTCCTCAAAAGATAAATCCACGTTGGGATTTCTGCAACATCAGTAAACTTAATGTGAAGGCATCGCAGGTGGTCGCGGAGAAAAGTGAAAGCGGATTGTTCGACTTTAGCAGGGCAGTTATATAGATGTAGTTCCCGTAGGTTGGTCATCTGAGAAACTTTGGCAGAAATTCTGACCTCAGGAATAAGCTCTAACTTGAGGATTTCCAGATCGGTGAGGTCAAATACAGCATTAGGGAGTCCTGACAGCATAAAGAGGTGAAGTTCTTGTTCATCTTGAGCATTGGATGTCACATGCTGACGCAGTTTTTCAAACGTCCACTCGTGGTTAAGGCTAATTTCTCGTAGTTTGTTCTCACTGACTTCGGAGAGAAATACACCAAATCGCTTGGAGTACAGCTGATCGTATTGGTCGACCATGTGTAGGAGAAACGCAAAGTCATTCTTGACATCAGGAATATCACTAAAGCTACTTTCCTCTCTGACTTTTTCAAAAGAGTACTCCTTAAGAGGTCTCCTGAAGAGCCAGTAGAGTGTATACAAACACACCAGGCCATAGAGACATATCATAGCCATGAAGGTGAAGAGAAGTTTCCTTAACATGAATGCCATGTTGTGCGTGCAAATGAATTGATCATACCCGGTCAAACTTTCAATTTTAGGTTGGCATATATGGCAGAAACTGATCTTTGAGGCAAACGTTGATGTATAGCTCAAAATCAAAATGATCTTTAGTGCTTTTATTGCTGTCTGAGCCACATAGAGTTTGTAGATGAAGTCATTGTCTTCGATGTGAGCTCGAAATTTTCGCACTTTCTCAAAAAGAGCCTTGGCTTGTTCTCCATCTTTTTTGTCTAAGGTGGTCAGGCTGGGAGCTTCTGCAATGAGCTTTTCGGTAGGAAACTGCACCGTTGGAGTTTCCATTAAAGGAGTAGACTGACTGCTGTCCTCTGAGGATACATGTTTTTTGTAAACCGAACCACCTGTGAACCTTTGCTTGTTTTCCTCAGAATCTTCACAAGCGGTTTCGGACAAAGCTTTCGTCGTCCATGGCGATTCAAAGCATCGTCCCAAAATGGAAACAAAGTGTTCAATCTTTGAGCTGGTCTTTGGGTACTTGAACCAAAAATTGCTGCTTACCATCAGCATTATGGTGTGTATGAGGGCAAGGTAAGGAAAGTATTTGTTATACCATGGTAGGGCATCATGGTAGCACATTTGGTTGACAAAAATATACTGCTGATAGTCCAGGTTTGTTTTACGTCCTCTGGGTTCAGGTTGAGACTTCATACCCTCTACTTTTAAAGGGGTAGATTGAGTGCTAAGAAGTTCATGTGCAATGCTGTCAGGAAGGTCTTTAGTGGTTGTGGGTGCAGTCGTCAGAACTGATGCGGAACATTCTGGTTGATTTTGTGCTGCCTCAGGGTTTGTGCTTTCCTCAAGAATGGGAAGACATGCCACTTGGTCTTTAGATAACTGCATAGTCCCAGAAAAGATGGCTAACATCAACATTATCACCCCAATATAATCCATGAACACATCCCACCATGGTTTCAGAATACGGTAGGTTGGCTGGATGTCATTAAGGGAGGCAACTTCAGTGAGACTAAACATCCCTGTAATAAAGAGCAGTGCAGTTAGTGCATGTTTGAACAGAAATAATTTGAGTCTCAGATGTACACATTTAAAAGTCTTGGGTGTTTACTTCCAGATAAAATAAACAAATAGCATATTTTATAGAGAATATTTACATTTAGTCATTTAGCAGATTCTTTGATTAAAAAAAACGACTTATGTACAAATGTGTATATAAACCAGTGAGTTAACCAGAGTGCATGTACTGACTGTGCAGTTTTCACTATTCGTCAAATACCTGCTAGCCACACATGGCTTCAAGTTACAACATGAAAGGTCCGAACCATCTCAAGAGTGTGTAATGTTTGAACTGGCACTTCACTGCAAAGTCTTACATGTTCGTGTGGTGTCTATACACTTATGCAAGTTTGTTGATATGTTTTCTGATTACAGGTTAAACATTTTTAGCAGTCAATGTGGTATTAAATATCCCAATTCTGTTTTTAAACATACTCCCCAGTGGCATGCACACAATTTGAGTGCAGCTTTATTCATTTCCTGCTATTTTCTTCAACTGTTGCGTGAGAAAGAGTATGGAAACACATGGCAGCTGTTAATAATTAGAATGGTCTGTGTTAAATATTTAAGGATTTTAAGAAATATACAAGTTAAGCCCATTATTCTGACTTTAAGGTGATTACATGTACATTCCATAAAATGAGTGCCTTAAGTGTGAACTTTATATAGTGAACTTTTCAGGACAATTTCAGGCTTTCTCACTCACTTAATGTCAGTTAAATTTAAAGTGTCATGACAGCAAAAGGACAAATGGCTAATTTAACTACAAAACTGACAACCATGTTACTGTTTTTAAGTAATTAATTCATTATTTTTTAATTAAATTATTATTATTTTTATTATTGTTGTTTTTGAATAACCTTTTCAGAATGGAAATGTACCCATTTAATCGATGACCCAAATGGAAACGTTTCTGCAGGTTGTTCTAAAATGGTTAATATCAGGCGAATAAACCGTTTTAAAAATAAATTATTATTATTTTTTTGCAGTAATACGATGTCAGAATCTACATATAAGGGTAGATCGAGTATGAAACGCGAAACTGAACATAACCTGCAACCCCAGGGAATAATATATTTATAAGAAGCAGGAAGAAATAAGCCTCAAAGACCCAGATAACTTAACTGTTTAAAGCGGTCTACTTACTGTCTCTGCTGGCGTTTTCACTGGGATAGAAGAGCACGCACTGTAACTGTTATCTTTGTCATATTGCTGTACGTTACGCTAGGTTTGACAAAAGTTGACGTTGAACAGGAAACGGACTACAAAAGTCAAATACACAATCGCCACCAAACAATCTTCTTTCAGCATAGTAATGTAATGTCCGTCAAGCACCGCACACTCTGTCCACAGAAGCCTGAACTCGGCGAGAGGTTTAAAATGTGCGATTCTTTGTCCGACTTGCTCCGACTTGTAGTTCAGCAGTCAAAATGACGGAGTTGTTCCGCTCGTCAACTGCGTATCTCATTGGACGGTGACTGCGCAGCGTTCTGAATACATGGCTCTGGCGTTTGACCCACCGGATAAAGGTGAATTATCACCAAAAAGTCCTAGCTATAGCCCAGAAGACGCGCCCTGTACAAAAGCAGTGTCTTACATAAAGGTGTATTTTCAATTATAGGTGGAGTCTGTGAAATATTACAATTCTGCCTGCATAACTATTTAATAATCGAGTCAAGACTAATCCCGTGCGCTCATTCTTCTTCTTTTTTCTTCTTCCTTTCTTTTATGAGGAAACTAGGACCCACAGTTTGGCTGACACAGAGAATGCAGGAAATGTTTTAGTACTAAAATCAACCCACCCTAAATGTTTTTTTTTTTTTTTTTTTTCAAGTTTCAGCTAGTTTGTAAGAGGAACATAGTTTTATTGTGTCTGGCTGAATCATGAACACGCTAATTTTTCTTCCTCTTCTGTCATTTATTTTTTTTCGGCCAGAGTTTTAGATGTTTTTAATAATTCTTTTCATAAAATAACATAATATATGTATGGCATGCACATTTATTTACATAAACAGAAGCCCAAGGCAATGAGATTTCTACTCTTTATGCAAGTTGCACATTGTTTTACACATGCAGTTGCCATAAAAGTGTCACCACCTGTTTATTAGTGTACTTGCTTCTTTATTGCTCTCAAGCGTCATTAAGGGAACAGACTATCCCTTTAGAGAGATATGAGTGTTCTTACCATGGCTGGATTATAAGAGAGCCAAACCCTTGTTTTTTGAGAGCACTAGAAATGGAATTAAACCCATAATAACTTTGTTTGACTCATCTGCATTAAGCACAAATGATTCATGAATTAAGGGATGGTAGGCCCTTAAAAGCCTCGTCAGTGAACAGCAGAAGAGTGGCAAATTGTTTTAAAATGAGACATCACGTGCATTTTCCATTTTAGTCAAATAAAGCTATGTGCAATTATGTTTCAGTCCAGACAATGTTGTTTTATTATTCTGTAGCCTATATTTAAGAACACATTTGAGTTAAAATTACACAATTAGGCATTGTAGGCCAGACTCAAACATGTCGGCTGGGCTATAATTTATGAAATTTTAACAAGGCCTATATTTTAGATTGTGTGTGTGCTAAAACTTAAAAGTCTGACCTGTTTTTTTTTTTTTTTTTTTTTTTTTTTTTTCTGGGACTGTAACTTCAATAAATATAGGTAGTGTGCATGCTATTTCCATGAATATTTTTCAATAGTTCGTTTTAGATTAACTTTAAACTTTTACAAATAATTTAAATACAAAGAATTTTATTTGTGGAAAATATCTAATCAAATGTGAAATGTTAAAGGGATGGTTAACTTTTATCACTCTCACGTTGTTCCAAACCTTTCTTCTGTTGAACACAAAAGAAGATATTTTGAAGAATGTTGATAACCTACAGATCCAACCACCATTAGTGGTTATTAAATCTAAGGAAATCACGGGATCCAGCCAAATGCTTGGATACAGAATGATGCTCTTAAAATGTAGGCTGCTAATCCAGAACGTTACAGTGAAGGGAGACAGTTACTCATCAAACACAGAACGTTCTCCTAGTCTAATGGTTCCCATTTGGTTATTTTTTGGGAACCAAACTGTAGGTTATTTTTAGGTTTAATTTTATAAAGAAAATGTTCTGGGAATGTTACCTGTAGGTTATTTTTTTTTTGTTCTTTTTTTATAACCTAAAGCAAAGGGAACATTCCCGTGAAGTTTCCAGAATGTCCACAAGGAACGTTCTATTTACGTTAAGAAAACTTTATTGGATCACCAATAGGGAACGTTCTTGGAAACGTTCTGGGAACCAAAAACTAACGTTTCCAGAACGTAAAATTGTTAGCTGGGCTGCTATGTTCTGACCCAGATAGTGTTGCATAGACGAGCACGAAAACACTGCCACAGTTGGGCCAGATTGTGATACTCTGGCGGAGTCTATGCGCTCGTCTTCTTGTTAGTAGATCTGTTAGTAGACATGTGTAGAATTTTGTTGAAAGCCCAGATAAAAGTAAAAAGCAACTATTTTGTGTTGATCCATGGCAGTTCGACTTCACAAGTGCATTTCTTTACACACCCACCCACACACGCGCGCGCGCTCTAAAGCCAGCCCAGTGGACGCGCACTGTTAAGAATGCACATAGGCTATATGAAAGAGTGTATTATCGTAATATTTTGACTTTATTCTCGAAATGTTTCGACTTGAATCATATATTTCGACTTTAATCTCGATATGATACATTTTTAACGTTGCGATTCAGGGCTTCGGTAGTAACCAGACTGTTGACTGCAGGAAAAAAAAAATACAGTAGAAGTCAATGGTTGCCGTCAACTCTCTGGTTATAAACATTCTTCGAAATATCTTCTTTTGTGTTCAACAGAAGAAAGAAACTCATACCGGTTTGGAACAACATGAAGGTGAGTGAACAATCCCTTTTACATTATCAAGACAAGACACCTTAATTGAATCCCTGGATTATCAGATGAAGAGGCTACTTTATTTAAAAATATTTTAAATTGAATTCCTGCATTTTAAGGTTTAAATTTCCCATAATTTAAACTGAAACTTTAAATTGTTAAATTGCCACATGTTGTTGACATGAACAATTTGCCGAATCATAAATTCGTAAATTTGTCACTTGTGGCGCTCCGTCTCCGCTGTGTACACGTGACTTAGAAAACCTATAAATAGGGGTAGCCGGCGTCCATTGTGTTCACCGTAGAGTCACTGCCGTGGACAACAGATACTAACAGTATGGCGTCAACGAGCCGGTTAGTTTCATTTCTGCTAGTTTTGTTCCTCCTTAATATCAGTTGTTAATGGATTGCATAGATGACCTTTGAATATTTCCGGTGTGGGCCTCTATAGGCTTTTAGTCGAAGTTTGTTGTCATCGAGACGTGATGCGTATAAAGTAGCTCTTCGGTAAAGAACTCTAACTGTCATTTTCTGCTAGCGCATTTTGGCTAGCTGCTAACCGCTCGCATATCATGGAATAAGACAAAATGAGGGCTGCAAGTGATTTTGAAAGGCTATCACCTGAGTTGTTATTTTAAATCTCCGTTGAAGAGTGAGATATCTGTCAAAATCGAACAAAATAACAGTCGTCACAGAGCTAACAGCGCTAACTGCTACATAAGTGACAAGAGGGACACTTGAAAACTCTCGGGAAGTGATGGCGATTGATTATTTATCCAATAAATAATGTTTTTTTTTTTTATCTGTGTTTTAACTCATGTCTGGGTTGTAGATGGCTACAATTCTGCTGTAAAAGTCCAATCCCCCCTTAGTTCACTGTTATTTAAAAAAAATGTAAACAGCTGGAAGATTATATTTTTGCTATCTCTAATAATAAATGAAGACGTTATTGTGTAGTTGTAGAGTGAAACTATGGATAAATTATGAAAACACTCAAACTGTTTTTTTTTTGTTTTTTTTGTTAATAATTTATAGACCTAAAAATAATAGAACAAACCCTTAACTGGGCATATGGGGTATTTAATAATAGTAGTAATAATAAAATAAGATTCATTTCAAACTATATATTGGAATAATTCTGGTTTGCAGTATTTACTTATGTAGAATTGCATATGAAAAGTTCAGATGTAAAAGCCTCTTAAGTGCCATCTGAAATTTTCTTCTAGAATGATTATTTTGATCAAGCTCTTATATCTAATTTCAGTAATTTCACTTTAATGGCAATGAAAATTATTACTTGTTTGTTCCTATTAATTGTCATTTAAGGGAAAATACTGAACTTAAATAAACTAGCTTGATAAAAATGATCATTCTAGAAGAAAATTTCAGATGGCACCACTTTAGAGCCTTTCGCATCTGAACTCTTCATGTGTACTCTGTGGTTCTGCTGTGTTTGAAAAAATGATGCCGCAAGAGCTATCTCAAATTAATCTATATAATTAAAAAATAACCTTTTCTTTTTTATATGCACCTGCTTTAGATGAATGTTTGGGCATCTTCCTGTACTGTTTACTGCATTTTAATCCGCATACAAACAATTGTTCATGTAGATTTTTCCTGACCTTTGGAATCTTGTCTTTTTCAGTGGAGACTCTCTTCCCAAGGTGCAATGCCCCAATCACCCCGAAGCACAGCTGGTGGAGGATTACAGGGCAGGAGACATGATCTGCCCAGAATGTGGCCTTGTAGTAGGTAGGAGTTTCCACCGAACATTAGAGCTTTGAGTGGATGTTTTTCATCGCTGACTTAAATAAGACTATAGGCGTGCATTTCCTTTTTTTTGCAGGTGACCGTGTAATTGATGTAGGGTCAGAATGGAGAACGTTCACCAATGAGAAAGCAACTAAAGACCCGTCTCGTGTTGGTGACGCCCAGAACCCTCTTCTCAATGGAGGTGACCTCACCACCATGATCAGCAAAGTAAGTAACTTGTCAACCAAATGATTTTGTGTTTTGGTGTTCTCGTCATGTTTTTTTAAAAATATATTTTCCTTATGCTATTTCAGGGAACAGGGGCAGCAAGCTTTGATGAGTTTGGAAATTCCAAGTACCAGAATCGGAGAACCATGAGTAGCTCTGATCGAGCCATGCTAAATGCCTTCAAAGAGATCAGCACCATGGCCGACAGGATCAATCTCCCCAGAAACATCATCGTGAGTATTCCAGCCTACTGTTATTGAATTTAGAGGCTAACATAATTATGCAAATAATGTAATTAAGCACAACACAGAGGGAGCCTAAACCAAATTAAAGAATTTTGAACAATAAACCCAAATAACTACATCTTATTTATGCAACCTATGTGTTTCTGTCACATTTATACGTGGTATAAAAAAAATCTTTGTTTTTTTTTTATAAATCAAAACTTGTATGTTGAGTGGATAGCTTTACATTTGTTTTAATAAGCTGTTTTGTCATAACACCATTAAAATGATTGAAATACAGAATGCAAATTGCAAAATTATTAATTTCCATTCACTATGGACTTCCTTTCTGCTCGCTGATCTTTATATATACATTTTTGTTCATATGATATATTATGAATTAATGTTCCTTTCCACCATGTTTCACATTGACATGCTCCTTAACTCGTGAATTCTGTAGTAGTAGGGCTGCACGATTAATCGAAATTTCCATGTAATCGCTCTTTAAACCGATTTGGCTCATCGTGATTTTGAAATCACAAAGACTGCGATTGTTTTTTATGCACAGCTTGTCATTGATGTACAGCTCTTAAACGCTAAAAGCATTGTGAGTTTGAGTTACTTATTTAAAA